TATAAGAACTCACACAACTCAACAAGAAAAAACAAACAACCTGATCAAAAAATGGACAGATGATATGAACAGATATTTTTCCAAAGACGACATACAGACGGGCTGACAGGCACATGAAAAGATGTTCAACATTCCTAACTATTAGGGAAATGCAAATCAATACTACAATGAGATATTACTTCACACCCATAAGAATGGCTATTTATTACAAAGACAAGAAATAAGTGTTGGAGAAGATGCAGAGAAAATGAAACACTCATTCCCACACTGCTGGTGGGAATGTAAACTGGTGCAGCCACTACGGAGAATAGTATGCAGAATCCTCAAAAAATTAAAAGCAGAAATAGCATATGATCTAGCTATTCCACTTCTGAATATTTATCCAAAGAACTGAAAAACACTAATTTGAAAAGACAGATGCATGCCTATGTTCACTGCAGCCACAACACAACAGCCACAACTTGGAAACAACCTAAGTGCCCATCAATGGATAAATGGATAAAGACAATGTGGTGTGTGTGTATATATATATATAAAATAGACTACTACTCAGCCTTAAAAAAAGATGAAATATTGCCATTTGCAACAACATGGATGGACCTTGAGGATATTATGCTAAGTAAAATAAGTTCAGACAGAAAAAGACAATGACTGTATGATTTCACTCATAGGTGAAAGATAAACACACAGATATGGAGAACAGACTGGTGGTTACCAGAGAGAAAGGAAGTGGGGGGAGGACGAAAGGGGTAAAGGGACACAGTGTATAGTGATGGATGGCAACTAGACTTTTGGTGGTGAACATGATGCAGTCTATACAGAAGCAGAAATATAATGACATAAACCTGAAATTTATGCAACGTTATAAACCAATATTACCTCAATTAAAAAAAAAGAATTTAGCAACATGGTTATAACCTAAAAAAAAGAAGAACAAATTTGGAGGACTTACCTGATTTTAAAACTTAATATAAGTTAATCAACACAGTGTTATATGTGCTATATTCACATTAAGGATACACATATAGATTAACAGAATAGGTATGAGTCCAGAAAGAGACTCAACTCCTATTGATTTTGTCAATTAATTTTTAACAAAAGTGCCAAGGTAACAGAATCAGGAAAGGATAATCTTTTCAACAAATGGTGCTGGAACAACTAGAAAGCACTGTGGGGAAAACAGGGAGCACGACCCTTACTACAAACAATGAACCAAAAATTAACTCACAACAGACCCACAGACTGAAATATCAAAACTAAAATATGTGCCCATGCAAAGATTTATACACAAATGTTCATAGCAACATTATTCAAAATAGTCAAAGGCTGAAATAAATGTTGAATAAATGTTCAAGAGATGAATAAATAAAACAAATCATAGTATATGCATACAACGGAATACCACTAAGAAAAAAATTACTTTTATGTGCAATCTACATAGATGGATCTCAAAAACATAACACTGAGCAAAAGCCTGGAAACAAGATATCACAAACCTTATGATTCCAATTTGACTGAAACTCCAGAAAAGACTAATCTAATCTATAATGACTAAAAGCAGAGCAGTGTTGAACTGGAGCCAAGGAACAGGGTAGTCTAATGGGAGAGGGGCACAAGAAAACCGTTTTTGAGATTATGGACATATTCACATCTTGATTACAGTTGTTGCTACACAGGTGTATACATCTGTCAAAACTCATCTGTACTATTTTATATGTGAAGAAAGTTGAATTTTTAAAAAATCTAATAGCCTGCCATAACTTCAAATTCCCACTCTTGTGAGGCAATTATCTAAATTCTTTCACCTGTTTTTTCTACTTACCACTACAATTCTAAATACAGTTTACAGTGCTATTTCTTAATTTTCTTTTTTAAGTTTTAGTATTTACTATATTCTCCTGTAGTTAAGATACTTTAGCTCTCTTAAACCACTATCAACTCACCTCCACATATTTTTCCCTGGCCCACATCCTCCCAATACAGTTATTATAATTATTAAATTTCCTTTGAACAAACTTTTGAACAACTTTTCTTTCCTCTGCTGTTAACTACTGGTCTGAAGGTTTAATGTTTTTCTGTTGTTGTTTGCTTGCTTGCTTAGTTTTTAATGTAACAATTATTGATTTGTTTCCAAATTATACTTGAGTCTCAAAACTTGTCTCAATATAATCAAACACATCAGATAAACTATCAGTTCCATTTTACTCTCGGACATATCCTTCCCGAGGCTCTCTATCCTCCTACTGGACTTCTGTTCTCTCCACCTGAAGCACAGCTGTCATCCTGCTAATTCCCTTATTCACGATGCTGAAAATGCCCTTCCTTTCTCTCTCCAGTGACAGATCCCATGTCCAAAACCCCTTACCTTTCTATTTTTGTGCAAAAGCATATTTTCCAGCAGCAATCTGAGAAAATGTCTAAACATACCTTCACCCTCAGATTTGATTCATAATTTGGCTGAATATATAATTCTTTCTATGTCTTTGCTCCATTCTCTTCCAGTTTCCAACATTAATGTTGAGGAATCTGATGTGCCATTATGTACAATCCCCATCTTTGGGGTGGAATCATTTTTTTTCCTCCGTAAACTTTTAGGATCTGTTTTTTATGTCTCTTTTTCTAAAATTTTAGTAGAAGTCCTTTTTTTGCTCATTGTGCTGGACGCCTGGCAGGTCCTTTCATTCTGGAAACTCACACCGTTTAGTTTCAGTCAATTTTCTTGAATTGTTTCTTTGACTTTTTCCCCTCCATTTTCCCTATTCTCTTTTTAAAACACCTAACAATCACCTGTTAGATGTTCTGGATTTATCTTACCATTTTGCTTGTTTTCTCAATCTTTTTGTCTACTACACGATGTACTCAATTTTATCCTCTAACTTTTCTATTGAATTTTGTAATTGTTACATTTTTAATTCCCAAGAGCTCTTTCTTATTCTCTAAATGTTCCTTTTCATGACTTATTCTCATTTCATGAATTTAATTTTTTTGTCACTCCAAGGATGTTAATTTTTTGATATATTTTTTCTGCTCCCTGTATTGTTTCTGAATATAGGCTAGAGAATTGGTGATCTAGGGTTTAAGAGCTCCTTTTAAAACTTACAAATAATACTTTTCCAGCTCTATTTTATACCCTTGCCCTCAGAGGTAAATGGTGTCTCTAATTCTCGAAACTTTCAGGTATTCTGCAGTTCACAACACCTTGGTAGCTTCTTCTCCTGCAGGACTAGGTTTCAACTTTTTCTGCTTGCTAAGTCAGTAAGCATAATGTTTAACAGGGGCCTACACATGGGTTTTTAATATGTTTTCTGTTGATTACAAGAACACTGGATAATATGGTGTGCTCTAAAGGATTAACTCAGCAGGTCTGGGTTGACCAAACCCTGCACATCTCATAAAAAGGTTCGGCCTGTGCCTGGCTCCTGGAAAATAACTTCTGAACCTTTATGATCCTGCCTGTTAAGAGAATCTTTGTTTATCTGAGGCCTCAGGCCGTGTCAGACAGTTTATGCTAACAATGAGATTTATGCTGGGGGCCTAGGGCCACATGGCATCAGCCTGACCTCTGGATGGGTTGGAGAACTAAGGTCAGCCAAGCCTATATAATGAATCCCCAATAAAAAATCTCAAGGCTCGGGTGAACTTCCCTGGTTAGCAATACAGCATACACATTGCCACACATCACTGCTGGGAGAATTAAGCACTGTCCATATCACTCCACGGGGAGAGGACAACTAGAAGCTTGCACCTGGTCTCTCCTGGACTCTGTCCTATGTGCCTTTTCTATTACTCATTTTAATCTGTATGTTTTTGCTATAATAAACCAAAACCATGAATACAACAGTCTTGCTGTTGAATCACTGAGCCTGTGGGTGGTACTGAGGTCCCCTAAACACACACTGTTATCTATCTGAATTATCATGTACATGAGGAAGTGTTTCAATTAATTTTAACGACATCTAAAAAAAGCAGGTCAGGCACCTGAAAAAAAAAAAATCTATCAGAGTCTCCCCAACACTATCTGTCCCCAACAAAAATCTATCAATGTCCAAAGAAAGTGCCGTAAGCAGCCTGTGCATAAACTCAGAATACAACTCTATTTTGATTCCACCAAGGTCAAGGTCTTATAATTCATAAGGCCAAGATTAAACTATCTGCTAAATCTTCCATATTCATTACTAGAATATATCCAAATAGATATTGACTATTTGAACTAAACTTATCATCCTATTTTGATAAATAATCCCTCTGAAATATTGTTGATGCTATTACACTCTGACAAACTCTTTTTCTTCATAGATAGTACAACTGCAAACTCCACCCAGTATTAGCAGGAGTTCTAATTAACAAAGTTCAACTGAAATATTCACTAGATTTGCCACCCCCCATCCCAACCCCAGTATTTTCTTTATCTCCAAGTAATTCCTAGAATGAAAACTTGAAAGACTTCTGAGACTAAACAAATTTCAAGAATTCTGAGGTCAATCCTTTCCCATTCGTCAATCCACTGAGACTCTGTGGAAAAAATGTGTTCTTAATGTGCAGGATGGTTGATGGGTATCATGACATGTTCCTTAAAAGACAGCAGATATAATGCTAATTCTTCAGAAGCATGTTTATGACGAGTTTTGCATGGCATCTAACAGAGACCCTTGCAACTAAACACTTAAGAAATTTCTTAGTCAATGAGAAATTATTGATGGATCTATTCTACATTATTTATAAAATGCTGAATATCAAAAGATCTCTGAAGACAGGGTGAGTGATTTAACCATCCAAACAACATTATATTGAATTTTTAAGTGTCAGATAGTTATATTACAATGAATATTAAGAAAGAGACAGAGTTCTAGTCCTTACTGCCAACTTGGAAACTGAACTACAACTTTGACCCAAAAACGAACAAAATGAAAATATGACACCACAGATGGTAGGAATATATATATAAGTCCATTCAAACACATATCCATAACCATGCCATATCACAAATCTCAGCTTATTACCTCTTTAATTTTTTCCCTTTTCTTTCTTATGTCACTACTTTCTGGATCTCCACCATTTATTCCTGTCAAGTTTGGGATAGGGACTGGTGGCAGTGGCTTTTTCTCTTTTGTCTTCATTTCTTGGACTACCTTGTTTTTCTCTGTCTGAATTTCTGCTCGGATTTCCTCTCTTGACTTTTTTAATTTTTCTTTCGCTTCCTCCAGGGCCTTCTCGTGATCGGCTCGGATTTTATTTCTCAAACGTTCTTCTTCTTCCCTGTAAGAAAAGAAAAAAAGACTGGTAAAAATGACCCTAAAGAACATCAATCTCTAAACATAAAACTTCAAGTTTCCTCCACCAAACCCTGATAGTTGCTTTCTACTCCTACCATTAAAAAGTAAGAATGAGAGGCCAGCCCGGTGGCACAGCGGTTAAGCTCGCATGTTTCGCTTCTCGGTGGCCCGAGGTTCGCTGGTTTGGATCCCGGGTGCGGACATGGCACCGCTTGCCAAAAGCCATGCTGTGGTAGGCGTCCCACGTATAAAGTAGAGGAAGAAGAGCACGGATGTAAGCTCAGGACCAATCTTCCTCAGCAAAAAGAGGAGGATTGGCAGTAGTTAGGTCAGGGCTAATCTTCCTCAAAGAAAAAGTAAGAATGATCTGTGAGAGAGACTCAGATCTACCTGCCCAAAGAATAGGGTAAATATATCTTGGAATGAGAAAGAAAATGAGCTCTGGATGCTGAAGAGCAAACACTTCACACAGCGGAGAAAGGAGGAAACCTAGAAAGTTACAATTTCAGGGCCAAGTGAGAACAAAGAAAATAGCCATCAGTAACTTATCAGTAGACATATGGAAAAAAGAAAGAGAGAAGAAGATGAGTGAAAAATTAGATGGAGAAGAGAAAATAAAAATAGAATTAAATATCGAGAGGGGACAAAAATATAAACATAGGGTCAAAGAAAGAGCTAAGTGGAAAAGATAGAAGGATGGGAAATTTTTCATTGTTATATAGTACATCATATGCTTCTAAAACTTGGACATTTTGGAAACACCACAGATCTTATAGCACAATGGTCCGACTGATGTGGGTATGACTACTTAAAACTCTCTTGAGCCCTTGTTAAAAACATATACTATGATTTAGCAGGTCTGTGTGAAACCCATGAATCTGTACTACTGAGAGCTCCCCTGTCTTCTGGTGCACACACAGGTTTGGAAACCACTACTGCAGTGGACACCTACTGGGCTGTACCCAGCCCAACTTCTGTGAGAGCTCAACCTTCTCTCGACCTCCAGCCCATTCCACACAAATAAATAGAGGAACGGTAGTTACTAGTTTCCAAATCAGCCAATGATGACCACTCTATGGGTAAACGTCTAACCCAACAGTCACCAGAGTCACCTCTCCAGAAATTTAATTCAAACTCTGCAGAAGGCTAAACTCCTAACACTGCTGGTAGGAATGTAAAGTGGCACAGTCACTCTGGAAAAGCTTAGCAGTTTCTTAAGAAACTAAATATGCCAGTATCATAAAATCCAGCACTTGTACTGGGCATTTATCCCAGAGAAATGAAGGCTTACATTCACACAAAAACCTATACACAAGACAGTCACAAAAAGACAAGAACTGTATGATTCCACATATATGAGATACTTAGAGTAGTCAAATTCTAGAGACAGAAAGTAGAATGATGGTTGCCAGAGGCTGGGGTAAGTGGGAAATGAGAAGTTATTATTTAATGGGTATAAAGTTTCAGTTTTGCAAGATGAAAAGAGTTCTGGAGATGACGGTGGTGATGGCTGCACAACAATATGAATGTATTTAATACCACTGCACTATACATGTGAAAATGGTTAAGACAGGGGCTGGCCCAGTGGCACAGTGGTTAAGTTCAGGTGCTCCACTTCGGCGGCTCAAGGTCCCTGGGTTCAGATCCCAAGTGTGGACCTGCACATCGTTCACCAAGCCAGGCTATCGCAGCATCCCACATACAAAATAGAGGAAGATTTGCACAGATATTAGCTAAGGGTCAATCCTCCTCACACACACACACACACACACACACATACACGAAAATAGGTTAAGATAGTAAATTTTATGTTATGTGTATTTTACCACAATAAAAAAGAAATTGGAAAAAAAACTCTATACACAAACATTTATAGCAACTTTACTTGTAATAGGCAAATACTGAAAACAATCCAGATGCCCTCCAACAAGTAAATGGTACTTTTATACCACTGTTTATACTGTGGTGCAGACACACTATGGAATACTACTCAACAATAAAAAGAAATAAACTATTCATACACACAACTTGAATGAATTTCAAAGGTATAACGTGAGTGAAAGAAGCCACTCAAAAGGTTACATTCTCTATGATTCCTTTCATATGACATTCTCGAAAAGACAAAAACACAGGAATTGTGAAAAGATCAGTGGTTGCCAGGAGCTATGGATGGGGGGATATAAAGTAATAATACAGGAGAGGTTTTTGGGATGATAGCATTGTTATATATCTTAACTATAGTGGTGGTTACACCAATGTGTACATGTGTTGAAAATCATAGAACTGTACATCAAAAGAGAAAAATATCAATTTACAGACTAACATTAAAAATAAAATGTTAAATGTTTACAGAAAAAGAAAACTGGATTGCGAGCAGTGAGAAGAGGCTAATGAGGAAAACAGGAGAGAGAAAAGCGGGGAAGTACAACAGAGCTGGAGAGTCAGGGACACACAAGGTCACTCTGGTAGTGAGACAGAATCCACGGGGCCTGCAGATAGACTAGATAGAGGAAGAGGTCGGCAGGGAGGAGCCAAGGGTGGCCCCTGAGTGCACTGAAGAGGAATTCTGGGCTGATCTGTTCGGGAGACTCAGGCAGATGAGGGCATCATCAGCACACAGGTGCTGAATGAAGTCTTAGATAAGATAGCCAAAGCAGACACAGGCAGGCACCATCCAACAGCCTTCCAATCCCCCTCCCTCTCCTCACCGACAGAAAAACACTGTGCCAAACCTCCGAGAACAAATCATAATCCGTCTACGCCAATCAAATCTTTCCCTGATGCCCTAACAGCTGGGGTGGCCACATAACTCCACTGCAACCAAAGAGACAAAAGAGGACTATTGGGAAATATTTTCCTTTACAGATTAAAAAATGGAGCCATTTGAGAAAAGGGCCTTTTAGCTACTACCAAACCTACCCAACCACCTAATCTTGTCTTCAATTGTGGTTATGATGCCTAATGCTGTGATAGTCGTCTTTCAATGAAAAGGCAACAAGCCTAGGGACAAACAGCCAACACTGTTCAGGAAAGAAGACAAAGAGGGGAAAATGCCTGCTGATATCATTGAATTGCAGCCAGGGCCCTCAGCTACCAGTTCCCAGATTTCAGATTCTGTGGACTAACTATCAGTTGGCTGTTCCGTCACTTCCAGCTGAGAGTCTTCCCAACTCACTCACTCATTCATGGAGCAAGCACACACATAAGAGTCAGGAAAGCAGAGGGCCTGGGACTAAGCCTAAAAGAAGAACAATATCAAATAGGGAGGCTGGTTCTTTCAAGGGCAGTTTCTGTCCTGATAACAAGTGGGAGAGTCTCCACGGGGAACCAAGCTTTCCATTTCTATCCCCAAGCACCACGCTACCTGCTGAATGGCACATGGAAGCCTCCACCATGTTTGCAATGGCTTGTAGGCATCACTGTGGAAGTACCTTCACTCACCAGTGAACCTCCACAGAGTCGGGTATCACATGCCACTCTCTAGAGCCCACCCTGAGGGGGAGAAGAATATGGGTCACAACTCATTCCATATCCTCTCTCCAGAGCTTCATAATGCACACAGGTATTTTAAAGGCTCTGAGAAGTTCTACAATAGAGATGCCTAACACAACACTTTCCAAAGTTATTTAGTCACAGTCCCCTTTTTCTGCACACAACCCCTTTTAGCATGCCATGAAACACAGTGACATAGAGGAAATGCCTCCAACTGTGCCATCAACCAAGCCTTTGGTAGAACCCTGCCACTTTTTTGCTCTGTGACATTAGATGTATGTCACCTCTCTGAGCCTCCTTTTCTCATCTGTGAAAACAGAATCCCCACCAACCTCACAAGATTGTTCTAAGGATTGGACGAGATGACACATGAGTCTAAGAGTACAGAAAAGTCCTTATCAACTCAGTTTCCTTCCTTCCCTTTCTGTCTACCCTCCTTCTCACCACCATCACCCACCCGGCCACCACACACACACACACACACACAGAGCCATTTAAGATTTGGGTTAACGTCAGTGTCCTCAGGACCAAGACCAACACCCAGTGACATCCTGCAACTTCTCAGGTTCCCTGCACTAGATGAGAGGAACAGCTTCTGGACAAACCTCCAAGGATTTAGAGGACACCAAATGCTATTAAAAGGGGGCCTGCCTCTTGTACAACTGGCAGAGAGCTGGGCCGTCTCTCTACCTTCCTGACTCCATTGCCAGCACTGGCCTTTGTCCATATGTCTAGAACAGCAGTTAGGGCCTTTGAGATTGCCTTAGAAATTAAAAGTACAGTGGCCATGAATGCAGAGAAGGCTACTGTCATTTATTATTCTTACTAACTAAATGCTAAGATCAATTTTTTCTCTGTAAGTAAAGAAGCAGATTTGACAGCAACACGTATGTGTGGATAATTTTCAAATTACACAATTTTTTAAAATTATTTTTAAAAATAAAAAATTGAGGGGCCATCCCCATGGCCCAGTGGTTAAGTTCAGCACACTCCACTTCAGCAGCCCAGGTTCACAGGTTCAGATCCTGGGAGCAGACCTACACCACTCATCAGCCATGCCGTAGTGGCAACTCACATACAAAACAGAGGAAGACTGGCAACAGAAGTTAGCTCAGGGTGAATCTTTCTCAGCAAAAAATAAATAAAAAATAAAAATAAAAAAATGAACACTTTAAATTTTAGTGCTCCAGAGGAAAGCCCCAGTCACCTTATCTCACTTTAGTCATTGTTATGGCAACCAAACATTGTTCATCAGAACCCATACTGTTGCAAGCCTGCGTAGAGTTTTATTCAAAGACATTTTGAAAATCTAAAATATCTAAAAATGTATTTGCATTTGTTCCTCAAAAATAATTATTTGTTTAAGAGTTTAGTAACTATACTCACCATTTCAGAATAACCAGCATGAACTCGAGTTCAAAGAAAGACCAACCAGTCTAGTCCTTGAGAAAAACTCCAGAGTCCGGAGAACTAAGACAGATCTCTTGTTAC